ATCGACATTCCACTCGTACTCTCTACTCGCAGTCATATATAATTAGCCCTCCCCTTGACAATTACTTTCGTACAAACGGAGGAAATGATAATGAACTATCCCTCCCACTCCCCTTGTCCAATACAAGGCGGCTATCTAAATATAGCACTATTGTGATAACACCGATCCCATTAAGATATTGGCTACTGTAAATAAATCTTCCGCACCGCGGTCCGGCTTTTAGAGTGTTGTTGTGTACTTCCGGTATCAGATTCAGCTGTCGTATCATTGTCCGATTAGCTTTCATTTGTCAAGCATATAAGCCTGTATATAAATATCAACTGCAAAGAGGAAAATTCAGTGGAACGTTTTCTTGCAGAAGTGGTTAATACACATGACCTTCTGTACGATAATGGTGTATTCATTGTAAATTTGCTGTACAATTATAATCATGTATTATTCTATCAGCTTATAATATAATTATCTACTCCCTGGTTTGTCTTAACTGAAGGCACAATAAAACCAACAATCTGAATTTAACGATAAACTCGACTTCCGTTCGGTGACATCCCGTCTAGTACAGATCCAGTAAATACGCTGGGTTACATAGTGAATGGGTTTTTCTTTTGTATTGTTTTACGGCCCATCGACAATTTAATTAAGTTATGTGTCCCAATTGATTAACTTATTATTAATCCCTTTATGCCGAAACAACGTTAAACCGTGAATTTAAAATGCGTGCGGTACACTTTTTCTGCTTCGAGCGCAAAAACAGCACGCCAAAAGCAACCGTGATACAGTAACTGGTATCACAGTTAACACGCCAAAGGGTTTTTTTTTTTTTTATCTCGCCAGTACAATGATTGTCTTATCAAGATAACGTTAAGACAACGTGAACGAGAATATAATTGGCAACACGCGCGTTTCTCAGTCATATCTTACAGTTCGTTTCCATGGTAACAGAGGTAAACTACAACAGTGCTGGTACTACTGATGTCAAAGTTTGTTGACTTGAGAGGTTTATGTATAACAGAACGTAAACTTCTTATATCTGAGTAATAGATGAGAAATTTATTGTGATGAAAGACGTGTCTGCTTTTACTATCTTTAGGTGAATCTCGGGAAACCTTTGATGGGGGTACATTTGAGTGGAACCCACAAAGCATTCATTGTTCTGTATACGTTTAGCAACCTAGGTAAACATGGTTCATTTTGTTTCGCTCATTTCATTCATCGCAGAGCATATACACATGCACATACAGTTATACCCAATGATAAATTGCATTCGATAGATAGATGTCATTAAAAACGCTATATTACCAGGGGGGCAATGCGTCATATCTGCCGGTTACGTGTGCCCCTGTTCGGATATTTTTTGAGCGTGTTGTGTGCAGAATTGTCACCATTAAGTCTACCAGAAAATCAATTTATTACTTTTTTAAAAACATAAATAAAAGAAGTTTGATGAATACTAGTACGTTTTTATTAAAAAGTTGTATTAATTATAGAAAGAATTGGTTTGATACATTTCCCGCAGTAACATTATGCTCGAACTTCGCCCTGGAGAAATATCATTAACTTAATAAGGAAACAAACCTTCAAGTCTCCCTACTACCAGGGGTAATAAATGTATTCGGACACTACAGAAAGTAAGAAGTAATCATGCATACCCGACTGACAGATCCTATCACATATCTATTTCAAAATGGTTGCCTAGTATCATGTGTGTGATCTGCTAGCGAGGGTACACTTACTAAATACAGAAGAAATAGAAAACAGACAGAAGGACCGGTAGACTAGTGAGTGGTAAAGGATCGACTGTATGGGTGGCATATGTTTGATCTGTTTGGCAAACAATTACAAGCGTATAGTTTACTTTTCATTTGAGTGAGTGCAAGTGTGTTGCGGGGGTGGGGGGGGGGTCGGCGCTTACACCAAAGGACACTGAGCATGTGCTGGGATACAGCGATGGGATACAGGGATATTGGGAGGGTTACAGGGATACAGCAGGTTTAAGGAATAAACCTGATGTATCCCTGTAACCCTCCCAGTATTCCCGAAACAGGTGTATCACGTGCAAATCTTACATGTATGAGAATAACACTTTTTATGTAAGATAACGAACTCATTTAGTTTACACCTTATATCTGTGTTTTCTTCATCATATTCGCTATACATCGAATTCAGCAGACACAATTTACCCACTGTACCCCACTTCATGATAGCAAGGTCCGACCGTTGATATTTCGTTTTGTCGCTTTGCGTTTTACTCAGGCGACAAGGCGAAAAGACGAAATGTCAAATATACGCCACTATATTTTGGGCTATTTTACTTCGGTTTGGCAGCTTCTTTTTCGTTATTTCGCTTTGACGCGTGTTCGGCTTTTCGTTACTTCGCTTTGTCGCTTGGCTTCTTTACGCTGGCGACAAATAAAAAAAGATGAAATATCATATGTAAGCCACCATACGTAAACTACATGTTTCTGACGTATACATAGTGACGACTACGTATTACAGGGAGTCAGTGTCTCCCGCCTACAACCAATTCAACACTCATCAAAGCCCTCTCATCACCAGTGTCGTCTGCCAAGTCGTCAATTACCCACAATGCACGTTTCCTTTGACCGAAATCAAGTGAAAGTCTATGAGAAAACACACCTATCGGTTTCCATTAGTTTTGTAGTGAAAGTTGACAACTTGTTCCCCTATGAACCTACCATAAGAATTATTCAGAAATATGAACATTAATCACTATACGACATGAATATGTTAAATTGCGCGTATGGATTTCAACTTTTGTACGGCTGTAATTTGTAAGAAAACTTTCTCTTTTGAACTCTGGACGCCTTATTTTGTTATATATTACACATACCAGGACGCATTTCGTTTGTACTTTTGTAAGATCTATAGGAAAATTGTGTAGTTAATATCAATTATATACAGCTTCGAGATCTTAGAAAAGGTCTGATATCTTTTTTAGGTTTGAGATTAAACATTCATGTAATTCCAGTCTATTTATTTGAAGCTTAAGAGAGCTATTTGAGATGCAGTGATAACTGGCTGGCTGGGCGCCATTGAAAGCAAACATACGTTAATCAAAATATGTTTATAACCGTCAATATTGGCCATTTATCATCCGATTTCGACGCAGTTTGAAAATGAAACATGATGAAACGAAAGTATAGAGGAAAATGCCCCGCACATGGGATTATACAGAAAATATCTGCCTGCTGATTCTACAACAGTTTTGTTAAATAATATTATGTAATATTAAGGAGTATTCAGGATAAAACTTAAGATCTTGGGTAGTCTCATCTTAACCATTGCCACGACATCTGATCGAAATTTCAGGTATGACCAAATATGGGTATGGCTATTATCCGCCACTAAACATTTGATACAGATTCTGTGTTATTTATATATATATATTCACACTCATTTGATCTTTACACTAAGAAGATACGATACAGATGCATTCTTTCGTCCTTACACTTTTTAACATGTTTATATAGGGGATAACCCTACTGTATTTTGAAATTTGCGGCGGAATATCGTGGTTATATCTTATATGAATTAGACGTATACCTTTTTTGTGAACGTCTATTTTCATAGTGTTGTTTTTGGCTCTTAATTACTTACGTTGACGAAAAACAATACAAAAACAAAATAAACAAAAGAAAGAATGTGAAATAGAACATCAAACAGTGACATTCAACGCCTTTCTGTTACCTCGTTTGTCAGAAGATGTTTGTCCGAGTACATCGTGTTCTACGTATTTCAAAAAGGCTCAATTATACAGAGCAAAATTCTAACACTGAACCTAAACCATCAAACCATTAGACTCCCCTGTAGGCACTTCGTTGTAAGAGAATGTAACTTGTTCCTATATCTGAATGAAAACATTGCTATAATCAACACCAGTGTCAATCATAATACGCTAATTTTACATATACGAGGCTTAGGGTCCTAACGACATATAACATGGAAGAGGGACAATATCATCGGTGACAATATAAGAGCGTGTTGTATAACCATTACTCGACCGACATCTGATTTCAAGTATTTTCAATTTCAGACGAAATGATGGACTCATTACATTAAAGTTAATGGTCTTTTCTTTTAATCTTTAAATCGAGTTATGTTTTTATCATTCCAGCCAATCGATCTGTCGTGTGACCCGGTAATCTTGTCCAGCAGCTGCGCCAACTGTATTCCCGGAACACTCGGCAGTTACCAGGGATAGCAGTTCGTACACGGAACCATGTTTTTAAATGAGTCATGTGCAAATTAATTTGGCTCTGGTATTCATGTTTTCCAATAAATGTTTCCCCAGAGAGAAACAAACGAATTTTGACTGTACAAATGGCAAGGAAAACTCAATTAGCCGACTACTTTGTCCATGTGTTATCATCTGTATACTTAGTATAGTTAAGTGGGACAGGGGGAGGGGGACGGTGTGAGGGGTGAGGGAAGGGGCACCGAGGCGAGTGGTTTCGGGAGTCTATTTCGGAGGAAAGGTCGGAGAGAGGAGTACCGAGTACTGAGTCAAAGGTTTACTTGGAATCATAACATAGCACTACTTTCACCTGCCATTCGTGTGTATGGTCTTCATTATTTGTTCTATAACCATCGCCTTTATGATATCTAAGTTACGTATATTATACTGCACACTAATTTCAGATGTGTCCTCTTGCATATAACCCGCCGAAACGCATCTGTTTGTCCGGTTATATGACTTTTAACTGTCCATCGTTTGTCAGATCTAAAGCACATCCGTGAATGCACGTGTTCTGTATATCTATTGATTTTCATATCATATCATACTTACTACTTCAGACATAAACCCTTTAAATTAAGACGTACATTCGCTGTAAGTGTAAGAGAAAACTTAGCCAGGTTTGACTTAAGGAACTTCAAAAACGTATGTCCCATATGTATCATGAATGACAGACTTACCAGTTATGAACCAAATTACTCAAAATGAGCGTCCATTATTAATATCTTTATGGAGACAGACTTACCAGTTCCGACCGGAGCCACTTAAGGGCATCCTGTATCCGGTTCGTCCGCTCCTCCCAAGCCTCTCTGTCCTGTTTTAGTGAAGTTGTTGCTGGCAGTCCCCCGGGGTCCGATTTATAAATGTTCCTTGACAACTCGTAGCTCGGGGGGTTGGGAAGGTTCGGAGAGCTGAGGTCTATAGGTGACCTCGGACTCAATGGTGACGTTGGCAATTGCGGCGAGTTTGACCCACCACCATCAAAATCGTGTGTTCTGTCTGAGAGAGATGGGAAGTCAAAACTGCTCATAGAGTTAAATCTACTTCCGCTTCCGGTTACAGTACTCCGAGAATCAGAATCATATCCGTTCGAAAGGTGTCTGCCTTGAGAATAAGTTCCGAGGTCACGAGAGTTCATGACCTTATTAGGAAAACATTTGAGATTAGAGTCACTGTCTTTCCAGTGTTTTGATAAATTTGGATTTCCGGTATTAAGAGGAACTGACCTTGGACGGTCAAGGTCGTTTAACGTCCGGTCGCACTTTGAGTACATCTCGTGAGGCATAGAATGCCTCTCGTCCTTCATGAAGTTTTCCTCTAACTTTTTTGACAATTCGGCGACCTTTGAACTATCAGAAGATGAAGAGTTTGTTCGATCATGACCACTTGAACGACTTTTTGAACTTCCGGGTGAAAAAGAGGAATCGGACATTTCCGATAAGGTTTCATTCGAGTCTGTCGTATCGTAACTTCCGGTAGAGTACGTCGACTCTGAACGTTTCACATTGGTACGTTTAAATGGATCATTATCCCTGTCTAAATCCTTCGATGATGTTCGTTTGAAAGTTGAAAATGACGGAATTGATGAAAATCTGTGTTTTAAGTCGTTCACCCTCTGGTTACTGTTTCGTCGCCGGGGGTCATACGAGGATGACGACGACGACGATGAAGAGAAGAATGAATCGATAGGTTTCGAAAATAATTTCATTTTTCGAAAATCTAAATCTCTTCCAGATTTTATATCATCTATAAGGTCAAATGTATCCTTCAAAATATCGGATTTCAAAGAATCGAAATCCATCATCCTTGTTAAATGACGGACACGAGGGTGACACTGTGTCACAGGGAAGTTCCTATCCGTTCGCCATGTGTGTGAGTATGTACGATTCGGTGATACAGGCCTGGTTACATCCAATGTAATAGGGAATGGTTATATCCAATCACGGAGAATAGAGGAGCACCAAATATCAAACATATCCATCACTCGCATATAGTGCTCTTCATAAAGAGCTTTGAAATTCGAAAACTGTGATAAAGATATCATATATTATCTTGCACAATAACATATCTCACATGCAAGGCTATACATATCTAGTGCGCGTGCTATGCGCTCGCGCTCCCAAAGCAGACTGTTGGGGGTTTGGCAGTTTGGCAGAGAGACGAATTCCATCAGAGTGATAGGGATGTAGAGTCAATGAAAACAGGCGTTGATTAATAGCGTCGGACTTCTGTATTACATCCCTCGCAGCCTCTGTATCCCGGCCTCCCGCCCATTCTGTGGTAGATACCACACTACACTAGTATGAAGGACATGGCGTTCTCCTCAGCAATAGTACCATACCTTGTCTGCAACGGCGCACGCTCTGTAACAATAGGCTCCAATTATCCGGTACGTCTCTTAGTAGTCGACGTGCAAAAATCTCAGCTGCTGCAATAGATTATGAAAAATACATTACTTCAATGTATATTTGTTTACGTACAATAGAAAAAGAACTATTTCATAACAATCAGTGACATAAAGGTACAATATAGCGTCATACAAGTTGACGATTTAGAGCTCAATCATTACATTATACAAATTCGAATATTTCATTTGAGGCGTCAAACAACATCATTATAAAACACCAACACATATATACAGAAAATGTAAGATAAACGTAAACTCAGGTACGTGTTGGCTTATAAGACAATATAAAAGTCGGTCTGAAGTATGTCTTGTGCATTTCAACGACATTTAAGTTACGTGCATATCACATCACCAAAAAGTAAAACACCAATCGATGATTCCACGATAAGCGAATTGACTGTACTTGACTAAAGTGTAAGCAGTACTGTACGGTTGCGTTGCCTTTAATCAAACTTACGCGATATGTTTAATGCAGGTGTTCTTTTTATAGCCTTAACCTTAAAAAAGCCTCTTTAACCATGGTCTGTAAATCTGCTCTATGTTTGTAAATATAAAATGTTTGAATCGGGAAAAAATACTATGGTATTCAGAAACAAACTACAGCAGACCTGGTTGAGTGATTGACTCATCAAAGATGGTATCACTTCAAGCATCATGTGATTTACCAATCTGTGCGTCCCGATTACACACCGTGAGAATAATGCAAGTGATGCGCAATAGTTGGATACATCAAATACCCCAGTAGGATGGGAACACACGGTACGAGTCTGTGTACTCGCTCCTACATCTTATACGTAATGTAGAATGTAGATAGATTGTCTCGTGTAAAACACGCGCATTATAGGTAGCTATGTAGAGCAGAAAAACATTGAACTGGACCATCAATAACATCGGGGGAGGGGGAGGGGGCAACATGGTATTTTAAAATTACACTTAGTAACAATGACGTTGAAACACCAATAAAAGGGTACTATATAATGCTGAAATCAGACTCCAGCAGACAAGAAGAAAACAGAAAAATAGAAAAAAGGAATATTTTCCTCATTGTTCCAGATAGTCATCATCTCCGTCTCAATCTAGCATGAATACACACTTGTTTTATTGTTAATAAATATCAGAAATACTAATTATGTGTTAGGGTATCTTTCAATATACAAACATACAACAGTGATCATGACATTTTTAAACTTACTTATCCGCCGGGTGTTTGCACTAAAATATGACAGAAACCATTCAATTAAGAATCCTATTTTTTCAAAGTTATTAGTTAAGACAATATGACAAAACAATTATGATAAATATGATGTGATATGAAAAAGTTATATTAATCTTAAATTTGCCCCGGTCAGGTTATTTTTTTCAGGTAAATAATATACAATTATGGACTTCAGGTGAGGTCTATCCCTGATTTATGAACCTGGTCTGAATAATATTCACACATCCATGTGTTTGTGACTTGAAAATTATTAATCTCATTGTAAAATGTCATATAATAAAACAATTGTGGACTTCGGCCTCTGTGATTATTGTTCAGACCAGGTTCGTAAATCAGGGATAGACCTCACCTGAAGTCCATAATTGTATAATATCTACCATCACAAAAGTCCGTAGCTGTTTAGCGTGATACATACAGTAGTTTTCTATTACCTGCAAAATCATGGTCTGTAAACAAATATTACCGTAATGGTGTAAGATCGGTAGACCGTGTAAAACATTTTAAAAGCACATTAACACAATTAGCGAAAATTGTGAGACGTTATTTTCAGAAAAACTTTATCTTCAATCACACGAAATGTTTAAACCACGTGTTCTGAAAATATTGTTTCTGTTACCTTGGTATACATATCTGTTACGTGGCCTTCCAACACTCGAGTATATAATAACTACGGAGCTAACACGCACTTAGTTTTTAAAAACGTATAAACGGGAATCGTGTGTTGGTGTAAGTGTTTATACCGACATCCCGATCCATGGCGTCCTATTCGTATCCCACTCATAAGTAGGAACAATCGTCTCGCTATTGATCATAAATGCAAGATGCAATAACCATCTGAAAGCGAAGATTCTGTTTCTCCTGAGCTTTCCCAAAGCAACTTTTTTCCTCGTTAATAAATAACACACCTCTGACCAAAGTAACGGCACATCTGCAAAATCCATGGAAAACGCCAAACACAACATAACAGTTTTGCAATCATGTCTTCTGTTGCTTAACTCAAGTTGTGGAAGGCAAGCTAGAACTCTGACTTCTGTTTTATCATATTTGGTCATGCCAGAAATGTTCGACGGTCATCAGATTCAAAAAAATAGATTGTTGTGCAGCAAGCATTATTTACGGAACTAATAAAATATGGACGGTAAAATATAGATAACTCTAAAGATAAAGAATAACTTGTTTTCCTGCTATTTAATCGTACATCGCATCACCAGAGTGGAATTGTATCCATACAAGGACACGGAGGTTTATTTTAACCACGCGATTGAAAAACTTCTACTTCCGGTTTAAAGTCCTCCACACCGAGGCTAGAAAAGGGTGTCTTCCAATTTGGCGGAGTGTTTATTGTTGTTAAATAAGGTCAAATTTTATTACGATGTTTGTGCTTGTGTTGTTTTCTTAAAATTAAAAAAAGGTAATATTAATTAATGTAAACAACACTTGCATGGGAGCTGGGTGTACCATAAATTGTCCAAGAAATGTATACAACATTTATAAAACCTGAGATGCATGTGTCGTGGTCCTTCGCCGCTCTAACAAATGGCAAAGCCGCTCATCATGATAACGTTCTCTTCAAACTTTCCAGCTTGACAGCTGTGTTGTATATATACGAATGATAGACCGATAGACTTGTTATAAATTTGATATATCGGTGCACTATTGATTGGTACTGATATTAAACAAATTTCAGATTGCTTCTCATTGGGTCGTCAAGTTGTTTTATATTTATATACTGAAGGTTTCCAACTAGCTGAAGTTTTGTGGACAATTACAAAGAAAAAGAAGTATCTGAAATTTCGTATTGCATTGTTCGTATTATAAAACAGAATGATTTTATTATCAGACTATGACTTTTGTTTTAGCACAAAACAGTTCAGCAGAACTCGATAACGACCTAGGCGCCTGTGCTAGGCACGAGGTTGTCGGATATTCAATCCATTTCCTGATATTAAAAACAGCTGAGGGTTTGTTCCAATCAATACAATGACATACGAGGTTTTATACAAACAATCTGACCTCAGCTTTTGACCTTTACCCGGAGTCATTTGTAAAGGAATGACCAGGGCTAGCCAGACATACGTCTGTACCAAGTCCGGTCGGAACAAAAACAGGTTGTACAAATTATATGCATGGTAAGAAAAACGAAACGAAATACCATAACTTCAACACACAAGAACATGCAGTTTGGAAGTTCAAGGCCTCCGCTGTCAATACACATAGAAGAGATGAGTATATTGTGAGCCGAATCCTTGGATTTCGAGAATGAAAAACTTAACATGTGTCAAAATATCAAAGCTTCACAGATACAGTTTTGGCTGGCAGTGGTACGGGGATCCTTAACTTACACAGCGTCGATAAAGGGGCTTCTGGTAGATAACCCTCGATAAAGAAATATGTTGGTTACTAGTAACAGGACACATGAACAATGAACAATGACACTGAACGTATATAAAGGGCCGGAACTGTCTCCATTTCTCAGAAATATTCAAGACATTGGCAAAATCGACATTACAGTCTTCGTTTACAATTTCTGAATTACATTATAAATATAGCCCCTGGAGTCAATTTAACCAAGGAAATGGTGTATGCATCAATTAGACAAAGTCTGAGGCTCATTATAACCTGCACAAGTAAAGCTCCCCAAACTTTCGATCCAGAACGATCCTCCTTCAACTAAAAGCACATGTCTGTATTTTAACTCACTTCCTTGTTACCGTAGTTTCCAATGTCAAAGAGGTTAAAAATATAGCTACCTGAGATTGCGGGGTATAATTAAACAAATAATTGCCGGGGCAGTCGGTACAGGAACGAAGGTTATCACGGGAAAGACATCGCTTTGTTAGCCCGCTGTAATAGGTAGCGGTAAAAATAGCCCGAGAGGGGAGGGGAGGGGGATATACTGGGGAGTGATAGAAGACACAGACCACGGAATGGAGGAGGGGAGGGGGGAGTATATACTGTGGAGTGGTAGGAGATACAGACCACGGAATGGAGGAGGGAAGGGGTATATACGGGGGAGTGGTAGGAGATACAGACCACGGAATGGAGGAGGGGAGGGGTATATACGGGGGAGTGGTAGGAGACAAAGACGACGGAATGGGGGAGGGGAGGGGTATATACTGGGGAGTGATAGAAGACACAGACCACGGAATGGGGGAGGGGGTATATATACTGGGGAGTGGTAGAAGACACAGACCACGGAATGGGGGAGGGGAGGGATATATACAGGGAAGTGGTAGGAGACACAGCCCACAGAATGGGGAGGGGAGGGGTATGTACTGTGGATTGGTAGGAGACAAACACCACGGAATGGGGGAGGGGTATATACTGGGGAGTGGTAGGATACACAGACCACAGAATGGGGGAGGGGTATATACTGGGGAGTGGTAGGAGACACAGACCACGAAATGGGGGAGGAATAGACCACGAAATGGAGGGGGAATTGGAAGAAGGGTAAGAGATAGGGAAGAACGCACATAACCATAAGGGCAGGAGGAACAGAGTTTGTGGGATTGTAATAAGATCGGAGAGTTGGGGGAGCAGACACAGGAAAGTACAGACCGAGCATGTTATTGTTCCGAGTGTACAGTATACCGGCGCGGTGTGGCCGCTGTGAACATTGAAATGAGACCTGCTTCTGTTTATTACAAAAAATGTTAGGAATTTCTTCCTCATAATAACATAGCATGCTTGAGCGGATCACCTAAGAACACTGCGTCAATAGTCTGTACCGAAGTATACCGACTTACCTCGTTATACAGGAGGTACATTGTAGATCGTCATATATAAACCGGTAACCCCATTATTCCCGATTAAAATAATCAGTAACCTCGGTTTACCAGATTTAGATAATCTATTAACACGATACAGCGGATTTAGATAAAATGTTACCTCCTTATACCGGACTAAAACCATTAATCAGTATCTTCGTTATATTGAACTTCAATTATCATAAACCTTATCATATCGGATTTACATCATCGGTAACCGCGTCTTACAGGGGAAAAAACATTGGTAACCGCGTTATACCGGACTAAGATAACCGGTTACCGTATTATACCTGATTAAGATTGTTGATAACCATGTTATATTGGGGGAAAATATGATCGGTAACCGCGTTATAGTGGATTAACATCATCGGTTACCGCGTTATACCAGAAAAAGATACTAGGTAAATGCGTTTTACTGGAAGAAGATACTCGGTAACCGCGTTATACCGGACTAAGATAATCGGTTACCGTATTATACCTGATTAAGATTGTTGATAACCATGTTATACCGATGATCGGTAATCGCTTTATAACGGATTTACATCATCGGAAACCGCGTTAAACCGGACTTAAATATTCGGTAACCGCGTTATACCGGAAAAAGATAATGAGTAACCGCGTTATAACGGATTTACATCATCGGTAACCGCGTTATACCGGACTAACATAATCGGTAACCGCGTTGTACCGGAAAAAGATTATCAGTTACCGCGTTATAACGGATTTACATCATCCTCGGTAACCGCGTTATACCGGATTTACATCATCGATAACCGCGTTATACCGAAAAAAGATCATCAGTAACATTATTGTTCCGGAATCAGATCATCGGTTACCACGTAAACGCCATACTAACTGGTTATTCAGGGAAACCCGGACCTGCCCTTTATGTAATTAAAATACTTGGATATTTAACGATGATATGCAGACGCTTCGAATTCGTTTAAGAGGTAGATAAACTCGTTTTACATAAGAGCATCATTTTTTATCAAATAACTGATACACGTAATCTATATGGAGATGTCGTGGTGTTCGCGGAACTTGTTATCAGATGATCGGAGTCCTGAGTTACGAAGCGTGACAAACAATCATTGGTAGACGTTGCAGGATAATACAAGTACATCCGTGGTATTCAGAGGCGTACAGAGATGTTTGTTAGAAATATTTTATTTATTTTAAGTATAACTTGGCAACACATATATATAATTATAAACATTATTTAAAAAAATGACATATCATGAAAACAGAATCGCAGCGGATTGAGACACCAGTAAAAGAAACTGTAAGAAAGTGAGAAAATAAAAGGAACACACCCACAGGGACCTGAGAAGGGAGGGGGTCCACAATAATCGCCTCTTACGTAAGGTACCATGCAGCAGGCTAATTCTTTCCTCGAACCTGCTGGGGTTCTGGATCGCTAGTGCCTGGTCCTGCTGTACATGTGCCACTCTCAATTTTGTCTTTTGTGTTTTCTCTGGTTATACGAATCCTATTATTTTCGAGGTAATGTAATGTACTAACTCACAATTACCTTCTTCTGATGGGGTTTGTCCGATATATGGTCTTATAGTGAAATAGTATGTTCGCTTTCGGTAAGAAGTAATCCATAACCAATGTTAACAGCAATATATGCGTCAACCTCACTGGAGAATAAGTAGTCTATACTCCGCTCATAACACGAAAAGGGGCATTTTAACACACGTCATAAGAATAGTCCAATTCATTCACTTTATCTGAATTAATTCACTATCCCAATTCATTCACTTTATCTGAATTCATTCATTATATCTGAATTCATTCACTATCCCATTTCATTCACCTTATCTTAATTCATTCACTTTATCTTAATTCATTCACTTTATCTTAATTCATTCAGTATTCCAATTCATCCACTTTACCAGAATTCATTCACTATTCCAATTCATTCACTTTATTTGAATTCATTTACTATCCCAATTCATTCACTTTATCTTAATTCATTCAGTATTCCAATTCATTCACTTTATCTGAATTCATCTGTTTTCCTATTCATTCACTTAATCTGATTTCATTCAGCGTATTACTATAATCGACAGAAATGTGTTATACCTGATTGTTCCTAGAGATTTAATCAACTATTTATCTAAACGACCGATTTGATAAGCTTGTTTTTGTTTATTTACAGCGTACCAGGAAATCTACAACTCCGGACACCGCCCATATAGATAACATAACGGACCGTTTCAGCGTCAAGTTGCTGGCGAGTCAGTGTGTCCTGAGACGAGGTAATTGTCAGAATTAGGCTTGACCAGCCGAGTAATGAGACAAAGTTGACCACAGGACAACAAACATGATGACGTATACACATTATAACCGGTACACGTGCTATCCTCTGGATAGCTGCAGTTCTTTTGCTGACCTGCTTGTATTTTTTTTATATTTCACCTCAGGCCGATGGATAACATATCAAATTATTAATCTATTGGACAATGAGATGCGGTTCCCGTAAAGCGACCCTCCAGCTGACAACAACTTCATTACCCCCTCCCTATTAAAAAAAGTATACGTCTCCAATTCACGAAAAAGTGTTACATGTTTAGAAGACCGAAAGCTTCTGTGATACTAGTCCGAAATAACTGACTTGATATACTTTTACAATATTCTTTTGATGGAGCAGAAAGTTCTCCACCCCATCAAAAAAATTAAATGTGAGAGTCCATTATTTCGGACAACCGTTATCAGTGGTTATAACCAGGACTGACCAACTGGGGGAGGAGGCCAACATTTCTTGAAGTGTCCTAAAGTGGGTCTCAAAAGAAAATTCAAAGGCTAGAAAATTTTCTGAAACAAAGACAGCCGGGGGGTGGGGTGAGGGTGGGGTGCTAGATCCGCCACTATAACCTTATTCCGTGCTATTTGCAAAAGATAAAAGATATATGGTTATACAACATATTTTGCCCTACGACTGGCAACGGTGAAAGGAAGTCAGAAACTATTGGGGCATTAAAAAGTGATGAACAATCAGAGATTTAGGCTACATATTGACATTCATACATACCAATGTAATGATGACATTTTCAAAAGGTTTATCATCAACTGACGAGTTTACCATAAGGACGAATGCTCCGGTGAACAATTACACCTTTACTTGTATAGCATACTAACTTATATACACGATCGGTAGGCTTATATCCCGTGAATACTTTAATATGATCATGTCATCCGGGGGTGGGGTTAGGGGGTTGTATCCTCGGACTTGGATGGGGTGGTGTAATTGGTCAAACAAGGGGGATACAATAATTTGTAAATGTACATTACATACAGTTAAACAGTAATGTCAACACGTAATTTCAGATTGATGTACTTCACTCCTCAGAGTACAGCTGGTATAGCTATAGCAAGGAGATACCACTTGTTAAACCATGCAGGTTTGTGTGGCGAGGTTAGTTTGGCCAGGTCATCCATCGTATGTAATTGAAAAGTACCTACCCTGGACAGGTGCACGTCCATTAACAGCCGATCTACACCTCCGAGACGTTAGCTCCGATAGAATCACTGAATTTCATTTACAAACTTACGAATATCTGTCGCCAACTCCAATCTCAAGCCGACAGTCTAATTCCAGGACGACATTCAAAACCACACCAATGTAATCACGTTGTGTAAAATCCAATGTCACCTTTTAATTTAAAATAAATATTACATATGTCGAGAGTTTGTATTTACGATCCACGGCCAGGTAAGTAGATAGTATTCCTCAGTAGTTTACACGAGATTAAGGCCGAGGTGTCACTGCTGGTCCTCGCTAACGTAATGGATCGTTGACACTACTCGCTATAATACCCGCGTGGTACGACATTACGTACTCAACTATATATATATTAATTAACGCGCTCGCGACATACGTCAACAGCATTTCAGAACCAAAACGGGAAATCCAAGTCGGCCATTTCGTCTTTGACAACTCTACAACAATGTACATTATAATACAAGCTTTGTTTAATATTTACTCAGCTCACGGTCAGCCGAGCGTGACGGCTTTACATGTACCGCCGATCAACCCATGAGGTAAGGTATGAACGAAATCAACGCAAAAATATACATTTATAGAAATAAATATCTTCATAACCTAAATTTGGTTCAGAACATTCAAACATATACAGACTATCACAGTACTGCAAACAGAGACGTACGTATTACATATTCTATATTTGTTAATATCATGATTGCTATAATCGTTTTGGTTTATACAATCTTTAGGTCACTCAGAAGTCCAAAATACAGACCCTCTGTAATTGAAGGTCAACTTTGTATTCGTTTTGGGGATCATTTATTGCTATCGAATCTATAAACACATTAATCGTTGTATTTCATTTTTATTTTTATTTTCATTTTAAGAAATTGAGTTGACAAGTTCGTTAACACAAGGGTCTTGTAGGCGCGAGTTTGTGGATAATTTCCGGATCAACGGTTCTTTCGTCCTAATCCGACTATTACTCGCCACAATACACGTTGGTCACTAATGGTCTAATTGGGTGTTTGTGGTGTTATCTATACTGACCCGTCACACGGCTGACCGGACATTCCTCAGGGGCTACAACTATCACTCCAAACTAATTTACAAAGTGTTTGTAAAACGGCACGCGAGATTATACTTAAAGTATATAACTATTAACTTGACTTGTACAGATTTTATCTCGCCGAGATATGAGAAATATCTCAGCTGCAGATCAGTAGGCACCTTTAACATTGCTGTCAAAACGTTTCAATTTGACCGTTTATGAAATAGTGTCAAACTTAGGAGCGATCCGTGAAGGAATGTAACGTCACGGTAGACAGGTCTCACTGTTTTATATCATAATCAATATTGAGCTGTATCAATGACACGACTTTAATAGTAAACAACATTGACGTTGAAATCTACCCCTAAATGGACAGATACTATCTGTAAACAAAAGGTTTTTATCATTGAAATAATTTGTCAGTGTCAGTCAGAAAATCTATACAACGTTCGATATAAAACATATGGCAACTGAAACAGATTTTTATAGAAACAGAATGTAAAATCTGACTTGATATTTATTGACAAAAGTACAAACAGTTTAACTAAACATGTTAGACAACAGATTATTTAATGTACTGAGTATATCTGCAATAAGCAATTTCCTTTTCCCGAGGTTAATTAAATGGATCAACACGGAGCAGTCAAACAACGAAACACAATAACGTCCACACAGGGAATCTTCGAACCCCTTACATTACGATTGATCTCTGAGGCCTGTAAACGTCATGTGAACTCATTTTCAAAACCGCTGATCCTATACTTAGTGATTTTAACCTTGCTGTGCCTATTGATCAATTAATCATGACTACATATACAAATTATCCTAACCTAGCTATGCTAACCAAGCGATGATCGATAACTAATAAGTGATCATAACCTAGCTAAACTTACCAATGTACCAACTAATTATCAATAACTACCTAGATAACCAACGAAAGATCAATAACTAGCTATAATAGGCGAGCAGTCATCATAGATACATATATTGATGATCGTAACCTAAATAAATAACAGAAGCAATCCTCTTAACCTAGTTATACTAACCAAACAATGATCTAAATCTGGTTATAACAACCAAGCAATGCTCTTTACCTAGTTATACTAACCAAGCAATGATCTTTACATAGTTATACTAACCAAGCAATGATTTTAACCTAGTTAAACCAACCAAGCAATGATCTTTACCTAGTTATAGTAACCAAGCAATGATTTTAACCTAGTTAAAATAACCAAGCAATGATCTTTACCTAGTTATAGTAACCAAGCAATGATTTTAACCTAGTTAAACCAACCAAGCAATGATCTTTACCTAGTTATACTTACCAAACAATGATCTAAATTTGGTCATACCAACCAAGCAATGCTCTTTACCTAGTTATAATAATCAAGCAATGATCTTAACCTAGTTATGCTAACCAACCAATGATCTTTACCTAGTTATACTAACCATGCAATGATTTTAACCTAGTTATACTAACCAGGCAATGATCTTTACCTAGTTATACTTACCAATCAATGATCTTTACCTAGTTATACTAACGAAGCAATGATTTTAACCTAGTTAAACTAACCAAGCAATGATCTTTACCTAGTTATACTTACCAAGCAATGATCTTTACCTAGTTATACTAACCAAGCAATGATTTTAACCTAGTTAAACTAACCAAGCAATGATCTTTACCTAGTTATACTTACCAAACAATGATCAAAATCTGGTTATACCAACCAGGCAATGCTCTTTACCTAGTTATACTTACTAATCAATGATCTAAATCTGGTTATAACAACCAAGCAATGATCTTTACCTAGTTATACTAACCAAGCAATAATCGTAACCTAGTTATACTAACCAAGCAATGATCTTTACCTAGCTATACTAACCAAGCAATGATTTTAACCTAGTTATACTAACCAAGCAATGATCTTAACCTAGTAATATTAGCCAAGCAATGATCTTAACCTAGTGGTATTAACCAAGCAATGATCTTTACCTAGTTATACTAACCAAGCAATGATTTTAACCTAGTTATACTAACCAAGCAATGATCTTTACCTAGTTATACCAAACAGGCAATGCTCTTTACCTAGTTATACTTACTAATCAATGATCTAAATCTGGTTATAACAACCAAGCAATGATCTTTACCTAGTTATACTAACCAAGCAATGATTTTAACCTAGTTATACTAACCAAGCAATGATCTTTACCTAGGTATACCAACCAGGCAATGCTCTTTACCTAGTTATACTTACTAATCAATGGTCTAAATCTGGTTATAACAACCAAGCAATGATCTTTACCCAGTTATACTAACCAAGCAATGATTTTAACCCAGTTATACTAACCAAGCAATGATCTTTACGTAGTTATACCAACCAAGCAATGATCTTAACCTAGTTATGCTAACCAAGCAATGAACTTTACCTAGTTATACATACCAATCAATGATCGTAACCTAGTTGTACTAACCAAGCAATGATCTTAACCTAGTAATATTAGCCAAGCAATGATCTTAACCTAGTGATACTAACCAGGCAATGATCGTAACCTAGTTATACTAACCAATCAATTATCTTTACCTAGCTATACTAGCCAAGCAATGATCTTAACCTAGTTATACTAACCAATCAATGATCTTTACCTAGTTATACTAACCAAGCAATTATCTTTACCTAGTTATACTTACCAAACAATGCTCAAAATCTGGTTATACCAACCAGGCAATGCTCTTTACCTAGTTATACTTACCAAGCAAATATCGTAACCTAGTTATACTAACCAAGCAACGAACTTTACCTAGTTATACATACCAATCAATGATCGTAACCTAGTTATACTAACCAGGCAATGATCGTAACGTAGTTAAACTAACCAAGCAATGATCTTTACCTGGTTATACTTACCAAACAAAGATCTAAATTTGGGCATACCAAACAAGCAATGCTCTTTACCTAGTTATACTTACCAAGCAAATATCGTAACCTAGTTATACTAACCAAGCAATGTTTGTAACCTAGTTATACTAACCAAGCAATGAACTTTACCTAGTTATACATACCTATCAATGATCGTAACCTAGTTATACTAACCAAGCAGTGATCTTAACCTAGTTATACTAACCAGGCAATGATCGTAACGTAGTTAAACTAACCAAGCAATGATCTTTACCTAGTTATTCTTACCAAGCAATGATCGTAACCTAGTGATACTTACCAAGCAATGATCGTAACCTAGTGATACTTACCAAGCAATGATCGTAACCTAGTGATACTTACCAAGCAATGATCGTAACCTAGTTATACTTACCAAGCAATGATATTAGCCTAGTAATATTAGCCAAGCAATGATCTTAACCTAGTTATACTTACCAAGCAATGATCTTTACCTAGTTATACCAACCAAGCAATGATTTTAACCTAGTTATACTAACCAAGGAATGATCTTTACCTAGGTATACCAACCAGGCAATGATTTTAACCTAGTTATACTAACCAAGCAATTATCTTTACCTAGTTATACTTACCAAGCAATACTCTTAACCTAGTTATACTTACCAAGCAATGATATTAGCCTAGTAATATTAGCCAAGCAATGATCTTAACCTAGTGGTATTAATCAAGCAATGATCTTTACCTAGTTATACTTACCAATCAATGATCTAAATCTGGTTATAACAGCCAAGCAATGATCTTTACCTAGTTATACTACCAAGCAATGATTTTAACCTAGTTATACTAACCAAGCAGTGATCTTAACCTAGTTATACTAACCAGGCAATGATCGTAACGTAGTTAAACTAACCAAGCAATGATCTTTACCTAGTTATACAAACCAAGCAATGATTTTAACCTAGTTATACTAACCAAGGAATGATCTTTACCTAGTTATACTAACCAAGCAGTGATTTTAACCTAGTTATACTAACCAAGCAGTGATCTTTACCTAGGTATACCAACCAGGCAATGATTTTAACCTAGTTATACTAACCAAGGAATGATCTTTACCTAGTTATACTAACCAAGCAACGATTTTAACCTAGTTATACTAACCAAGCAGTGATCTTAACCTAGTTATACTAACCAAGCGATGATCTTAACCTAGTTATACTTACCAAGCAATGATCTTTACCTAGTTATACCAACCAAGCAATGATTTTAACCTAGTTATACTAACCAAGCAATTATCTTTACCTAGTTATACTTACCAAGCAATTATCGTAACCTAGTTATACTAACCAAGCAACGAACTTTACCTAGTTATACATACCAATCAATGATCGTAACCTAGTTATACTAACCAGGCAATGATCGTAACGTAGTTATACTAACCAAGCAATGATCTTTACCTGGTTATACTTACCAAACAATGATCTAAATTTGGTCATACC